TCTCTTCTATGATTCTATTTCTAACTTCGTACAAAAACAGGAACGAGAGCAGGCCGTTCGGCCCTTTTGAGTGCGCTCCAACATTCAATGTTTGGCTGGTCATCCAACTCAGTCCCACGTTCTTCCCCCATACCCTTTGATCCATTTAGCCCCAAGAACTACATCTAATTCCTTCTTGAAAGCATTCAAGTTTTGTCCTCAACCGTTTTCTGTGGCAGAGAATTCCACAGGCTCCCCACTGTCTGGGTGAAGAAATTTCTCCCATCTCAGTCCTATGTAGCCAACCCTGGATCCTTAAACTGTGACCCCCTCGTTTTGGACTCCCTCGTGGACAGCTTGACTGGGTAGGTGCTGAGAGGTTGTTTCCCTTGGAACTAGAAAGTCATGGTCTGAAGATAAAAGGTTGTCATTTAAGACTGAGATGAGAAATCAGGTGCATTGTTCCTTGAAAGTAGAATTGCAGGTAGACAGGTTGGTGAAGAAGGCATTTGGTATGCTTGCCTTCGTTGGTCAGAGCATTGAGTGTGCAAGTTGGGATGTCATGCTGCAGCTGTACAGGACATTGATGAGGCAACTTTTAGAGTACTGTGTACAATTCTGGTCACCCTGCTATAGAAAAAATGTTAAATTTGAGAGGGTGCAGAAAAGATCAACAAGGATGTTGCCAGAATTGGAGGATTTCGGTTATAAGGAGAGGCTGAATAGGCTGAGGCTTTTTTCACTGGATTGTTGGAGGCTGAGGGATGACCTTATAGAGGTTTATAGAATCATGAGTGGCATTGATAAGGTGAATAGCCAAGGTATTTTCCCTTAGGATGGGGGAAGTCCTGGAATCCCTTCCCTAATGGAATTATGGGTCAGCCTACCACAGGGCATTTGCAGTGGTTCAAGAAGGTAGCTCACCACCCCCTTCTCAAGGGTAACAAGGGACGGGCAATGAACACTGGCCAGCCAGCGACACCCACATTTCACAAATGAATAAATTTTAAAAAGTCCAGAACTAGAGGTCAGACATTTAAGGTGAGAGGGGAAAGATTTAAAAAGGACCTGAAAGGTAACTTTTACACGCAGAGGGATGTGCTAACAGTTCCCTTGTACCATGTCAAAATGAAGATCAGTCATTAGTATTGCCAGTTAATTGGTCATTGAGGACACCACCACAGCTGGTGTTGCCCAGCAAAGATTGCTGCATAACCTACAGAGGGGAGCATTCCCTTCTGGCCTATACAACTGAGGCTGCCACTCATGCCCTGACTCCTAATAGTTACCAAAATAGTTCTAAGTAAGCTTTTTGAAAGGAATGGGGGTTTTATTGAAAGATTCTTTATTCAGTTAGTATAAACAATGCAAGTTTTGTCAAGTGACATGGTTGTAATGGAGCTTGTTTTGTTGAGGGCCTAACAGTATCCTGTAGCAACCACATAAATGAAGGAACTCCACAAATGGCATCTATTGACTGTGAAGAAAACCTCTTGCATTTCATGAACTATAGTCAAAGCCAAACAGGAAACTTGTTTCCAATTATTTAAAAATAGGTTGCCTTATTTGGGGAGCCTATTCTGCTATTTTTTTCCATTATGTCTCCAGTTGTCTCTCAGTGTAATTTTTATTATTTTAAAAGCATAAGAGTTCCCTCTGTTCCCATCCCCACATCCAGTCCAAATATTAAATATAAACTTAGTTAAAATAATTGTCTTCTTGCTTCTTGAGCCAGAAACTCAACTCTCACTGCAGACTTGAACACGAAATCTAGGCTGCGGTGCTGACAAAATGCTGAACTGCCAAAGGTATCCTTTATTGACGATGCATTAAACTAAAGCCCTGTTTATCTTTTTAATGGTTCAAGTGATAATTAAGTATAGCAGAACACTAGTTTGCCCAAGTTCTTTTCCACAAAAAGCTCTGAATAGAAGTTAAAGCATTGAGAATATAATTCTTTTTACTTTGATTCATCCGTGGAATGTCAGTATCACTGCCAAGTGTTTGTTGCCCATTCCTAGTTGCCCTTCAATGCAGAGGCTGATTGGCATGAGTGGCCATTTTACAGGGGTGCTCAGAGTGCCACCCACCTTGCCATGTGTCTGAAGCTGCTTGTAGGCCCGACCAGATAATGAAGTCACATTTTTGTTTCCCTCAAACAATAACAAGCCATATGGGTTTTACTGCAAACGATGGTTTCATGATTACTTTTCTTTATTATTCACTTCTGGGATATGGGCGTTGCTGGCTGGGCCATTTATTGCTTGTCCCTGGTTACTCTGGAGAAGACGGAGGTGAGCTGCCTTCTTGCACCATGTACTGTGGGTTGACCCACAATGCTGTCAGGGAAGGAGTTCCAGGATTTTGACCCAGCAGCACCTGAAGAAATGGCAGTATATTTGCAAGTTAGGATGGTGAGTGGCTCAGAAAGGAACTTGCAGACGGTGGCGTTCCCATGTACTTGCTGCCTTTGTCTTTCTAGGGGATAGTGGATGTGGGTTTGGAAGGTACTGTCTATGGGGCCATAGAGAATTTTTACAGTGCATCTTGTAGATAGTACACACTGTGCATCAGTGGTGGAGAGAGTGCATGATTGTGGGTATGTGCCAGTCAAGTAGGCTGCTTTGTCCTACGTGGTGTCAAGCTTCTTGTTATTGGAGCTACACCATCTGGGAAAGTGAGGAGCATTCCATCGCACTCCTGTCTTGTGCCTTGTAGCTGTTGGACAGGTTTTGGGGAGTTAGGAAATAAGTTATTTGCTGCAGTATTCTTAGCTCTGACCTGCTGTTGTAGCCCCGTGTTTATATGATGAGTCCAGTTCTGTTTTTGGTCAATAGTGCTGATAGTGGGGGATTCAGTGATGGTAACATCATTGAATGTCAAGAGTCAATAGTTAGATTCTGTCTTATTGGAGATGTTCATTGCCTGGCATTTGTGTGGTACAAATGGTACTTGCCATTTGTGGATATTTTCTGGGGCTTGCTGCATTTTGACATGGACTACTTCAGTTACTGAGACTTTTTTTTTAATTCTAGATTATTAAATTTCATTTAAGTTCCACCAGCTGCCATCATAGGATTTGAATCCATGTCCCCAACATATTAACTGGGCCTCTGAATTACTGAACCAATGCCATGACTGCTACACCACCATCCAATGTAGAAAGCAATTTTTTCAAGTTACTGGCTATGGCCAAATCTCCCCCTCCACCCAGACTGTCTGGTGCGTGGTCTGTCCCTGAGCGGCTGTTGATCTTTGTCTGAAAAAGAGGAAAATAGATTTGTTTGTAAGCATGCTCTTCTTCGGAGCTCCTAAGGATGAAGGGCATGTCTTACGAGGTGTGGTTGAGGACTCTGGGCCTGTACATGATAGAGTTTAGAAGGATGAGAGGGAATCTCATTGAAGTTTACAGAATACTGAGAGGCCTAGATGGAGTGGACATGGAAAAGTTGATTCCACTAAAAGAGAGACTAGGACCTGAGGGCACAGCCTCAGAATGAAGGGATGACCGTTTTGAACGAAGTTGAGGAAATTTTTTTTCACCAGAGGGCAGTGAATCTGTGGAACTCATTACTGCAGAGGGCTGCAGAGGCAAAGTTGTTGAGTGTATTTAAGACGAGATAGATTCTTAATTAGTAAGGGGATTAAAGGTTACAAGGAGGAGACAAGAGAATGGAGTTGTAAACATATTAGCTATGATCAAATGATGGAGCAGACTGAATGGGCTGAATTTCTTAATTCTGTTCCTATATTTTATGGTCTAATGCTCGGATCTGTTCAGTTCAGCACCAGAATCCAATCCCAATTCTTCCCCGAGTTCCCAATCCATTAGAGAACACCTGCACCTCTCCCTTCAAGTCCAAAATAATTGAAGTCAAAGGAATAAAAGAATCACATGACTATCAGACTTCCTGCCTTCCTTAATCTAGCCTTGAAGAAGGGCCAAGGCCTATGGGAAATTCTTAACCACGATCAGAAAGGATGGGGGCGAGATGAGAGAAACTGTAAACACGAGCAGCCAATGACATCAGACTTGAGTCTAAGAGGTGAATCAATGATGAGAGGAAAGGGAGTTGAATGGGTCTGCAGTTTCCAAATTTCTGGAAAAGAAATTGTAATTAGAAAGTGATGCAAGCCCTGTGAGATTTCAGAGTAGAATGTGGATTAGATAGGGCAGTATATTTTCAAACTTTCTTTGGCACCTTAATCACATTGTCTTGAAATATTACACACACAAGAATAACATTGACTGGACTCTACCATATTTGCAAGTTCAGAAACTTGATGGACTGAGCCAGGAGCATAAACAAAATAGAGAGACCAGAAACGATCAGTCTGTCCATGCATTTCCTTTCCAGTCATGTAATTTGAGCAGTTCTTGAATAGAGCCTGCTCGTGATAGTTGGAAACCAATGTGTCTCAGTCCGGTGTTTGAAGCCGTGCTGAGTCCCTCAAATACAGCTGCTCTCAGACCCTGATGTGGGTGGACTTCAGCTGAGCCACTAGGAATTTTGCAACCATGGTCCAGAAATTTGAGCTGGAGTCCAGCTTCCCAGATTGCTAAAAGAATGCGTGGGCTGGATGTCAACTGCATGACTTTCTTTACCCCCAAAGATTTTAAAAAGCGATATTTGAAAGGTAGGTAGGAGAAAACAAAATCTGTACTAAAAATAGATTGCACTGGCTATTAAAGGTTTGACATTGAATCTTTCCCAAAAATGTATGATAGCCTTTTGCTTTCAGATGTCAATTGCGCTAACTTCAGATTTTTTTCAAAAAGGAAGTTGACTCTCGAGCTATTTATAATTACCATATGCAAAACTTGCTTTTGTTTAGAAACAGTACAATAGCTATTGGCACTAGTGCAGATTTATCGAGCACACTGACGACTGCAAGTTCAACTGTTGCTTGTTTCAAAATCCTTTGGCTGCTTGAGCAGTCACTTGGTTTGGTGTTTCTTGTTTATTTGTGCCCCCCTCAGAGAGTGCTTCATCCTGACTGCCTGCTTTCACCTTACAGATTAGCCGAGAAAGCTGGTATCCTGATCCCACGCATGGCCAATCAAAGCAGAGTGCCAATGCAGCCGGTGAGTAAAGGAGTTTGAGTGGTATGATGTGTTGTGCTTTGGAATCTGTTCTGCTAATGGTAACTCCACCAAAACCCTAAAGAATTGTAACAATGAATTAATGGGTCAGCATGCTGAGATATCAAAGTTAATTAACATCTCCAAAACATTTTTAAAAGTTTTCAGATGATCAAAGTGAAATTACCTTTGTCAACTCTGCTTCCGATTCCCAAACCTAAGTGTCGTAAGCAATGTTTGAGATTGCTCATTTCTAAAGCTAATGATTCTTTATTGTTGAATGTTCAGACCAGGATTTAAAATTCAAATGTAATTCAAAAAACTGGTGCAATAGGCTGTAGAGATTGGAACCAGGTGGATCTTATTGACTGAGATCGTTGGGGCTGTTAACCTGGGCCAATCAGAAAGCCCTGAGTGACAGACATAAACAGGAGATTCAGAATCCCCTCACTTCAGGGACTGACTCCGAGCTGGCTGGCCACAGCCTGTGTACTGTGCACAAGTAAATAAAAGATGACTTGGTGATGGGATACCGGCCCCTGTGCAGTTATTTCATAGGGCATGTTGATGCTTTCCTTGTTGGATGGAAAAGCTCCACAATTTATCTCCCTTTACATTGTTCAACACCCCACCACCACCCCACAAATTAAAAGTGTAAAATCCACTTGGGGTGCACTTCAGATTGCGGGCAATCCGGGAAACACACAAATCTCTTAAAATAGTTACTGCCACTATGATGGCAACTACTTCTAATTAAAATGCGTATAGGAGGAAGAGCATTTGGCCTCTTGGACTTTTTTTCCAAGGTTAACAAATGGAAAAACTTCCTGCTACTGATACCATATCTAGGTGGAAATGTTATTCAGTTTGCATCTACAACGTGGTTCAAACCCGATCATCCCTTTACTACGCCATTGGCACAACTTCCATTTCTCATGCTGGCCTTTGTCTCTCTGAAGATAATTGTTTGGCACCTTTTTTTGGGGGGATGGTGTGGGTTCAGGCCTACGTCCAAGAAGCCTGATCTGAAAACCACTCCACCTCATTTCAAGTGATATTTATTGAGAGTTGACTTTCAATCTGAGCTTGGGTCGAATCCATTATTGCAGCAAACGATTGTGTTCAACATAGCAGTTGTTACCCTAATCTCACATGTGGAATGATCTCATGAGTAGTTACTTCACAACTTTCTGACTGTACTTTGTACTGGGTCCAAGATTTTTTTAATGCTGGTTAGAACACGCATAACACGTCATGTGATTTCAATTCTCTTTCCATTAGCCAAGCCATGGAAAAAGCTCACTGTTACATACCTGAATAGTGGAAGTAGATAATTTGTTGAAATCCATTCTGCTTTTGGATCTGCTTGCTTACCTGGAAGGTTTTCTGAACCAACACTTAGTGCTGGTTTCATACACTTAATGACTCAAGCATATGCTGCACAGCATATATAATTATATGTAATCACTGTTAAATATATATGCACTCTTGGTAAATTATTATATACATTTATTGTGGCTTCAGCAGCAAAAGCAGCCAAACTCCTTTGACAACCATGACGATAGCACAAAAATTAATTCAGACCAATTTTGACTGTTTTGCGAATTAGCTCAGTTGAGCCCTTTTTAAACCTTGTAGAGTTCAGAAAATAATTCAGTCAAGTCAATCCAACACTCTTTTGTAGTTTGTGGTTAACTGATTACAATATTCCTGTTACATAGTATTGTGAGTTGGAAGAGAAGGACCAGGAAATTGACAGCAATTAGAGAATTCAGTTTGCTCAATTAACAATAGATCCTCTGTACTGCAGAAACAGAACACACATCTGGGACCTTACCAGTAATTTGGACTGTACAACGCTTGGACTGGGACTGTTTAGGATAA